ATTTCTCTCTCGATGTGCAACGTCGAACAGGAGCAGGAGAGAGAGCGCGCTCCCGCATCCGCCACTGATATTACGAATGCATATGCTTGCTTGACTGACTGACTGACACCATCGCGGGAAAAATGCACTAAAGCGTGCTCTATTTGCGGTGCATTGAAACGATCGAACCCAGCTAAAAATAGAAAGTGTTAAAAGGCAAAAGTGATTTCCAAATAAATTCAACAAAATAAATGATTTCAGCACAGTTCACTCTCACTCTCCTGCTCTCATTCAGACTCTCTCTCCCTCTGTGAGCGACTCATTCACTCTCTATCTCTCTAAAATTAGAATGCATCTCCTTGAAATGTTGATATTTTGTTTGATTTTCAAATCGAGAGAGGCAAAAAGAATAGGAATTTCTGTTGTGTTTCTTTGACAAAAATGTGTGAAGAATTTTTGCCTCCCATGCATTAGACAGGCAATATACATACTTGTGTTAGCCATTCGCATTTTTCACTCGTGTTTCGGCTCATACACATACACACACACATCCCCTTCGTGAAGCATGAAAATTCCTTTGTATACAAATCAAAAATAGACAAATGAAATTCTCATGTTTCACATTTAATCTAATTGTAAACATCAATCGAATGGATTCGATTTTATTGCGGTGCTTGGTTGAACGTTGCTGTTCATTTCAGGGAAATCCGATGACGATTCGATTGGAAAACGAAAAATGAATGGCAAAATGCAAAAAGGAAACAAAAATCGTCAGCTCTATCGATACATTGCGATTGTCATAAATAAATGTTGACAGGTGAAAAACATACGGTTTCATAATCAATTGCAGAGAAACAAACGAAAAGCATAAGTGACATGGATATGTGTGTGTGTATTGCAAGGCTGATGGCAATACTCATAAAGGTAAAATATAATACTCATACAAATATTGAGTATACACAAATTATTACAGTTATTTTTTTACTCGTTCGTTTACACTGAAATCGATTTTTATTATTATATTTTCCCGGTTGATTTTGAGACGCTTAAAGAATTTGCCAAGGAAAAACAGGGAATAATGGTTCATTTCAAACAGAGAGAGAGAGAGAGAGAGAGAGAGAAAGAGAGAGAGAGAAGTGTTTCATATAAATATTGAAAAAAGCAATGAAGCTAAAGAAAATCATATTCTTTAGAGTTTTCAGAAGAAGTCGGTTTGAACGAGGAATTTATGCGGGATTTCAACAAAAAATCGTATACTCCGCGCCAAAATATCAACTATTCTACCGATTCGTACCTCCGAAAATCGGTTTGTAAAATTATTCTCGATGTTAATTCTCATCGGCATTGCCCCATCTGTAACGCTAAACCGCAGCAAACACACGAACGAGCGGGGGAGTAGTGCCGGCAGCAGCGATGACGGGCATGCATATTATTGTTTCAACATTTCTTTTTATGTTCCAGTTTATTTTTATTGATACGATTAGCAACTGACAGGTTTTGGAACGATTAGAGGTATATATATAACATTTCGATTGAGCGACATAGAGGGAGGGGAGAGAGAGAGAGAGAGAGAGAGAGACGGAGTGATAGATAAATGGCTTATATGCGAAACATCAACGAATAAACATCATTCATGTATCGTGATTCGGATTTATTACACATATTTTCTTTTACGTATATTGATTGAAATCGCACAATATTTTTCAGTAATGCATACGGCTGATTTTTTTCTCTCATTGAAAATTCTTCAGAACTCGCAAGAAAATTACCGTGAAAAATCGCAAGAAATTTTTTTTCTACTTAAAAAAAATGGTTTGTGAAGGCGTTTTTTGAGTTGAAAACCAAATGTTTGTTTAGGCTCCATAAAACAGCCACATATGACGCCGACATTTTTGACCTCACTGAACACACATCACACAATTTGCCAAATGTACGCTTTCGCGATTAAAAAAAAATTGTTCGAGCATTTAAAAAAAAAATTTGCTCAAGCCGACGAACGAACGAATGGTCATAAACAAGCCATAAAACTGTATAAATTCGAAAAATGAGTAACTCTGAAAATCCAAATCTCGGTACAAAAAGGTCGTGCAATAAATATTTGCGCGCTGCAAATGAACATCATAATTATGGGCTCAAGCGTAACATATTTGACGGAACCGAAACGGTTGTGGAGTTTTGTTATTCAAACAATTGATAACGATTTTAAGTAATATATACACACACAGTGTACTTCAGTACTGACTGTGTGCGAATAAATCAGCGCTTCAGTACTTAAGTATATGCGAGCAAGTCATCGAAATTGCATCGACAACAAGAATAATCGTGCAGTCATAAATCAGAAGTGTGGCTCTCTGTCTGTGTTTATACTGTATGAGTTGCGACCCATTCATTATATGTTCATAAAATGAGTGAATGAGCAATGTGCATATTCCCAAAAATTAATTTCAAACGCCTTCTGCCAAATGCCTCATTTAACAATATATTGAGGATTTATTGGGATTGTTCGCGCATGGGTCATGACTCAAAAGAAGTGTATAATTATTTATGATCCAATGAGCAAAGTAGTAGACTTAGCGTGATTTTTAAGGTCTTCGGATCAAGAAAATTGAATTTTTCCTTAATTATTTCCATCACAAAATTACAAAAAGGTGTTCACTGTTCAATTGTTCATTCTCAGTACAAAAGTGAAGGTAGGCTACTCGTAGTAATCAACAGGATCTGTTTCGTCTCAATCGCAAAAGTTAATGTACCGACGAAATTAATACGGATGCGCCCGAAAACTATTCCCACGAAAAAGGTGTTGAAGCCGAAAATAGCTTATGAACATCTGTCTACCTTCATTCAGTTCGACTCACTTGTAGTGATTTCCTTCAAGGAAATCCCTTGTAGTTCGAAGTGGTTTTAATTAAACTACTGTTCTGCTACTCAATTCATAATCATATTTCCCAAATGGAATTTTTATGTCTTTTCCAACGGTGAATGGCACAAAACTTGGTGCTCTCTCATATGCAAAATATGTTTAAATACATTTAGCTATCAGTTATCAGCTACCAAATACGGTGTAAAATGTTTAATATGCTGTTGTACACAACTTACCGGCGTAAGTGTTGGCGATTTGAGTGGTGATGAGCAGAATGGCAACCCACCAGCTCAAACGAGCGCTGTTCTCACGAAAAGGCTTCATAGTTGGAAGCCTTTTCACCTAACGTCGATGGTAAAATTAAACTTGTTCACTTCCTTATGTTTTTCGTTTTTTTCAAATATCGTCTAACCCTTCTTCAGTTTTTTTTATTCATTCATTAAAGTTTTTTTTTGGGGAATTTTATAGTTTCTCCACTCTAACACTGAAAACAAAGAAAACATTTCGGTTGAACTGGCAAACATTCGAAATGATCGATGAGGTTTCTGCGATTCGCTGGTTCGTGGTGCACTTTTTAATTTTTTTGATCAAACGTCGTTTGTTTTGTTTTTTTTTGTTAGTCATTTGAATTTATCCGTTTTGTTAGTCATACATTGTATGACTCATATACAAGAACCCGTCTTTAGTAATAATTTAAATTTATCTGGTTGTTTTGGTGTAATTGAAGATTTCGAGTCGGGTGGTCTCTCATTCTAATTTATGATCTCAAAAACCAACTAAATATCACTACCAGAGTTATAACATTTGCACAGATTATTTTGTGCTCATTTTAATATGTATCTTTTGGTTTCTTTTGCTTTTAGTTGAAAACTACATCAAGTTTGTGGGCAACGCAAAGTCATTCCGGCGTTGAAGCAATACAATTTCGAATACGCAAAGGCAAGAGCAATTTTCGAACGGCAACAACGGCATAAATTTAAACATTTTGACCACAACAGCCGCCCGAAACACACTCTGTGTGCGAGTTTGTGTGTGGAAAAATAAATAAAAATTAATAATAATTTTTTTTCTCAGGATGTGAGTCGAAATGAAATGGGCACTTAACGTTTTGTCAGCCCACCGCATGCGTTTGAGATTTGTAAAAGACCAAACACTCTCCGAGTAATGATTTTCGCTGGATGTTGCTCATTTTTCAATGACAGGGCGAAAGAGAGTGAGAAAGGATGGGAGCAAAAGAGAGCGAGCGATAGAGAACGAGAGAGACAGAGAAAAAGAGAAAGAGAGCAGGAGAGCAAGAACAAAGGAGAGAAAGAGAGTTTCGAGATAGATAGAGCAAGCGTGCAAAAATAAGAAATGTAGAGCTGAAATTGCACCATTCGATTTTGCGCACACAAAAAGAGATTAATGTGACGCGACTCTGTGACATTTAAATGGATCACACACCAAGAAATACATCTCTCGAACGTCACAAAGCCAACCAATTTTTTTTTTATTTGTTTGATGGCATTTAGCAAACCAACAACAACGAAACAAAATATGTTTTCATTTCGTAAATAAATGATTATGAGGAGTAAAGTATCCGTATCGTAAGCTGAAGAAGAGGAGGACATGAAGAGATGGAAAAAAATCGTAAAAACCGACGATAATGATGATTTAAAAAATGAACAAAACACAATGAATTTCTATATTCGCATTAGGGGCAATAAAAAGACTTGATACTTAGTGTGCGATGATGCACTCGCTTTCTATCTCGATAGATGGATGAGACGAACAGAGCGAACAATTGGTAATCGCAATGTGTTCTAGAACCCATGAACATTTACAACAAATACGGAATTTGCATAGAGCACGCATTAAAGTGGGCGGACTGTACTCGCGATTCGTGCGTCTTCAGCATATTAGTTCTTAAGCACTCGACGAGCTCTCTTGCTCGCTCGACGGGGGGTTTGTTGATGGAAAAAAAATTAAAACTGTCGCATTTTGTCATCGTAAATTAATATTTTTTAAGCTATCTTGCGTCTACGATAAAATTAGCGCATAAAAGACATTCGAATGTTCATGCTTGTAACATTGAAGTGATCGTCACCATTCGTTACTGACTTTCTTTTTCTCATTGACTTCATTTATGGCAACAACAACAAAAAAAACCAAACAAAATCACCACAACTGGATCTTGTCGGATTTTAAATAATGGTCGATTGTTCAATTTTTTACGATTCAAAATGACATGTCCCTTTCAAGCGCCATCATCATCGCACTGTCTTAAGCCGGATGCAAATGAGACAAGTTGAAGCGAGTTTCCAATAAAACTTGCGTTTCCCATTTCAATTTCCTGTGCGAATGAAGCGGGACGATGATAACATCAGACATTCTACCATACAAAATGGATTAGCATCGACGAGGAGCTATCCATGCATTGCATCAAATAAGATTTGAACTAGTTCTATGTTATGTCAAAGATTTGCCGTTGTTGTTTTTTATTTCGTTCTCGAAAATGGAACATAATATATTTATGGTCATAAAGATCACAATGCGTACATTCAGGCCAATGGCCAAAATGGAAAACTTCAATCTAATCATTTATTTAGTTTGCATTTAAAAGTTATTCAATCTGTTCATATTTTCTGCACATTCGGACCAACCAAGCCAACCGACCGACCGACCGACCGGTCGACCAGTGTGAAATATTCCGTCTTCTTCTTCGATTGTCATGCGGATTTTTTTTTTGTTCGTCATTGTGTCGTTTCCTTGGTATTCCATATTTTTCACTTCGTTTCTTATGTGTTTTGCCATGGTTGGAACACAGAAACGTCTGCTTTGGGAATAAACACACACGATTACGAGCGCTTGGGAACCAGCGGAAGAGTGAACAATATAAAAGAGCAGTATACGGTTGTCTTTTTTTCGGTTTGTTTGTTGTTGAATAATTCGCGTTGCACGTCACACCAACCGAAATGCATTGAAATATACGCCGGGAAAAAAATGAAAGCGTCAACATGAATCGCGAACTGTTTGTGCTCCTCTTTTATATACCGTTACACTCTTTCTCTCGTGTCTTGTGTTTGCCGTCTAATTCACCTATTAGCTGGTGAAACTACTTTATCATTTTTGCTGCTCGGAAATGACTCAAATTTCAAGAAATGAACATAAAAAATAATAAAAAGAACAACAAGAGATGCTTGTACACAGAAGAGACAGTATCGCTTTGGGAGCGCTGGAGTTTTTTGATTCGCCTGGGGCAGAGACAACAACCAAAGTAGTAAGAGAATCTGTAACACCGCTCACCCGTGCCCGTGCCGCGCGAATGTTCGGGTGTAATACTTGGTTTATTTATTAAATATTTTTTCGACAGTGACGATATGGAGTGACTTGAACCCATTTGCAGCTGCGGCTAACTATGGAAACTGCAATAGAGAGAGAGAGAGAGAGAGAAAGAGAGAGAGGAAGGAGCATCTCGATTCGATGTTTATATTTTGTAACTGAATCGAACAACAAGGACACATCGCCATCAGACAATGTAGAATGAATTGTGTGTATGTGGATGTTTGTGCGGTGCACAACAAACACTTACACGCAACTCGCAAGGTAAATTAGATTTCATGCTTTTCTTAATAGAAAAATGGAACCCCACTCTCTTACTTTCTCTGTCTCTCATTCGGTTTACATTGCACTCTTTCTAACTCTATCTCTTCCTCACTCTCCCGCTTTCTCTCTCCATTTCAAAAACACTCTCCCTGCCTCCCATCCGCTCTCTTTCGATTTTACAGCATAACGCGCGGCGTCATTGTTTATGTGCTGCTCTAGAATTAAATTGTTTATATATTTTCATTGAGGGTAAAGGAAACGACAGAAAGAATGCTTTTTAGATTTTAGTCAAAACTCAAATTAAATTATTCATTTAGCTCGACGATGCTCCTCTGTGTATAAACGCAAGAGTTATGTGTGTGCGGCCTGCTATTTGTTATTCGATGTCCTTGCGCTTTTCTACCGGTTTTTCACTCAATTTTATGGTCTTCCTATCTTCATCGTCATCAGTCTTCGATGAAATTTTGTCTCTTAAAAAATTAGGTACACCACACGCAAAAATGGGTGAACCGATCGAAGACTTCGTTTCGAAGTCTAGTCAATGAATGGAGTTTACAGCCTGAATGGCGTTTTGTAGGACGAAAATTGTCGTCTTTTCTTCTTTTTTTTTCTTGAAAAAAAACATTTTTCTTTTGAATTGTTACTAGTTTTTTCTCCCTTCATTTCGACGCATCGGTCAGGGTTTGAATGAGAGATGATTCAGTATTCTTCAAGAGAGAGGAAACTGAATTAAAGTGTAATAAAGAACAAATCGAGAAGAGACTCGAAAGGAAGTCGAAGAAACTACAGAAAAAATGCCGAATGAAAATTTGTTGAACAGTTTCACTGTCTTGTTGAATGATTAAAAATTGTTTTTTTTTTCGTTGATAATCCACACATTCCTCGTCTCTAGCTTTGGACGACTTTAAATATTGATTATAATTTAGTATATTGACGTGTTAATTATCATTTGGTATAGCATTTCAATTAAGCTGGATCCATTATCACGCAGTGACATAATTATCTTTAATTAATTTGAGTGACACGCATTCGATCCACCCTAATGTGCATCTAATTGTCAGTGGCAGACGTGTGTATGATGCTGTTGCGTTGAGAGAGTCAGTGTGCTTGTACTTGATATGTAACGAAGAGAATGCGCTCACTTTTGTTTTAAGCGTAAATACATACTAACAAATTACTTATGAGATGTATTAAATGCGTTAAATATCTGTTCTTATTTGGTGTGGTTCATCTGTGTGTTCTCTTTTTCTTTCTCTATCTCTATCTCTTCCTGTCTCATTTTGCCTCTTTTTATCTCGCCATCTCTCTTGTATTTTTTTTGTGTATTCGCTGGCGCGAACTTTTTTTTTCGTACTTCTTCTACATAGACTATGTGGTGGATTCCGCGTGCGCATTGATTTTGTGCTCTGATTTTCTTTTCTCTGTGGCGTCGATTCTTGTTTTGTGTTGTGTGTTAATTTGCGGATAATGCCTTTATGTTTGCGCGAACGCATTTTTTCTTCTCTTCAAAAACAGCGTGCATTTTTCTTGAAGACAAAGAGCCACATTGAGCTTGAGAGAGAGAGCGAGAGAGTGAGAGAGGAAGAAAGATTGAATTATGTTACATGTTATTGGTTTAGCGCTCGCCATTAAGCATGTTTGGTGAAGCTGAATAAGAGACATCTTAATAAGTGAGTGCGCGCAAAAAGACACAACTCGATGGAATACCACAGCTCTCTCGGTGAAATGAAAAAAAAAACAACTGCAGTATAGAAGTAGTGTATTTAGCGGCTTAAGGCGGCAGTGTGCGCTCGGCACGGAAGAGAGCAAAATGACAAGAAAATTGAGCTATTGTTTTTTTTTTAAATGTTTTACAGAGAGCTTGTCGACAAGGGACTCAACAACATATTGCTTCATCAAATTAACATTTTCACATAATTTAGCCGACGACGACGACAACGATGACAACTACGTCGACAGGCTCGGACCAATTCATAACTTATTGGTGGAATATATACATTTTTATGTTCGATCATGATACCAGCAATATTATTGGAACAGAGATAGACACACACATAGTGAACGAGCGAACGAAAAAAACTAGGTACTGAAATTGGAAACGGCACGAATCGCTTCGAATTACCGTATCGTTAAACATTTAGAAATGGATTTGTGCAATTGAAAATCAATGAAGACAATTGCCTGACACGAACTGCCATTCAAATAACCCAACGAACAAAAACAGAAAACAAAATCGGTTCATTTAAAATGCGAACATGCATTTCAATTGATAATTTTTCATAAGTGATTGGCTAAATGAAATATATATTCACACATCAAATCGCTACGGTGTTTGTTGTTCTGTCGCGCACATACATTTTGTTTCTTCGTTGCCGAGAATGGGTTTTATATGCCTTTGAAAATCCGAATCAGTTCGAGTATTTTAACAAAATCCGAATCAGTTGAGTTTAAACGGCTTTTGAACAAAGATAATGAGCCTTCTCTCTCGCCTGTTTTCACCGTCACGTTACGTACACAATTCGAGGTCAGTGCAAAAGACGACGAGAAAAAAAACATATTTTTATCGCACCGATTTCATAAGTGTCTTCAAATTTAGACACAAAAAACAGCACATCGCCCTCGGTTGCTAATCATAAAGGAATTATCAGAATTCAACAGATATGGTTTTTTACGTGCGTAACTTCTGTAGAGTGCAAATGTCAAGGATCCTTCACTTTCGAGTTGAGACGACCGTACAAAACACACACACACACACACCGCATCATCAACGAAAATATTCAGTATTTTGTCTCTTCGACTCGATCGGGCCGAAGCGTCGAAATCAACCAAAAATTACGCTTAAAATAGCCACACTAATTCTCTCAATGGGAATTTTTTTTCCTTTCTTCAAAAACACTCTCAAAGTCGAACTAATTCTCACACCGACCGATGCTGAAGTCGTTGCTGTTCACTCGATCTGACTTCAGCGTTTTATATTTAGATGAAATAAGCACTTTAGAGCATATAATTTTTTTTTTATATTCGTTTGTCTGTTTACATTTTTCCTTCTAAGCAACAATTTCTAGCGTAAATACTACAATCGACAGAAATGAGCATTGAAACAAAAAATCTGTTGATGTTTGATTCCGAGTATTTCAAATGGTTGGGTGTGTTTTTTTGCATGTTTTCCGCTTCAGAATGCCAAGCATTAAATCATCTCTATCTCTCGTTTACTGTCATTCAGTCAGCATTTTCATTCGTAAATATTGTAAAGTGTTTCGCACACACACACACACACACACACACACACACACACACACCGCACACACACTGTCTTCATCAAAGAGTCCTGCTCTTTTTGTTTGCTATTAATTAATGCCGAAGTGTGCTAATCACAAACGGAAACTTAACGAAAAGAGAAAAAACAACACGCATAATTCGCTTCCTTAAATCCATCAGCGTTTGAGACATGACGTTCATCACGTCTAAATAGATTTATTTACAATCATTTCGAATCAATTTCGATCGAAATCGTTCGGGTCAAATGAAAAGATGGTTGTGATCTTGAGCAGGAATTGAGGATAAATTCACATGTTGAGATCAACATCAATGAACATCAATTTTCATTTTTATTTCGCTCACAATCGGATCAAATAACCATTCAGCCTATTTCAAGTGGATTCGAACCGTTTTTTTCTCTCTCACAAACTCAATCCAGCATATTGCCATGCTAAGCGGACGAAAAAAAATGACTCCTTCACATAATTTCAAAATGTAAGCTGAATGTGTTTTTTTTATGCCGAAATA